GAAAACATGATAGCGTGAGGACGTTGGAAGTCGTCCGACTGGATGTAGTCACGGGCCTTACTATTCCAACTGGTGATGTTGGCGAGGTAAATGTCTAGCACACCCTGCTTCCCCCGCCTGGCATCGATTTGGTGTCTTGCATCTCCCGCGGCACTGACACTCTCGATGCATAATGGCGCAACATCGTCAAAGGTGTGTGTACTATCTGAACTGAGGCTGATGATGTCATCGCCACTGTCGATGACTAGACTGGTGAAATCGTTGATCTCGCTGCCCTGGGAGATCTGCGTATTGTGGTCATCCTGGTGGCCTTGCCCGTCTGCGGGGGGGCTGCTGGGCTCAGGTAGCCCGTCGGCGCCTTCAGAGCTGATCCTCCTCGGCGTCCGCTGCAGCCCCCCCGCGCTCCCTGGGCTCGCTGCGGCTGCGGGCCTGGCGCGTGGGGCCGTCCTCGCGGCCTCTGCTGCGCTGCCCGTCGCGCCTCAGCAGCGGCCTTGGCGGTGGGGCCCGGCCATGCTGCACCGCCGTGTCGAGCTGGACGACGAAAGCGGCGGCCTGGGCAGCGTCATCCCCTTTGAGCCCTCCGATGGCTGCACGCAGCCCTGGTGGCAGCTCGGGGATGTCGGGGGCCCGCGCCGCCTCGGGGCTGCCTGGCATCGGTATGTCGGCGGCTGCGGCGGCGGCCTGCGGGGCCGCGGGCTCCACGCCTGCCATGGGTGCCGCGCACTGCGGCCGCCACTGGGCGGTGGCCGGCCGGCTGGCCTCCTCGAACTTCCTGCGGGCCTCGGCGAGGTCGGCGGCGACCTTCTCCCGTTCGGCTCTGGCTTCCTGGAGCTGCGCCTCCAGGTCCGTGAGATGGGCATCGAGCTCCTCCTCCTCCTCCTCCTCCTCCTCCTCCTCCTCCTCCTCCTCCTCCTCCTGCTCCTCCCCCCTGCTCCTCCTCCTCCCCCTCCTCCTCCTCCTCCTCCCCCTCCTCCTCCTCCTCCTCCTCCTCCTCCTCCTCCTCCTCCTCCCTCTTCTCGTGCTGGCGCACCTTCTGGAGGGCGGTGGCGGCGGCTGCCGCGGGGGGCGGGACGCTTCTCCGTGGCGAGCGCCGCGGCGGACTGGGCTGCGGGGCCTAGCTCCTGCTGCGGGGCCTCGCTGAGCACGCCGAGGATGGCCGAGAGGATGCTCTTCCTGTCGGTGGCGTCGGGGCTCCCTGGGCTCCGCGCTGATGTGTCCGTGGCTTCGGAGCTCCCCTGGCTGGCGTCTTCCTTGAGGAGGAAGGGTTCGCCACACTTGCACCACACCTTTCGCTTCGCCTTCGACTCCTATTGCCATGCTCCACAGCCGCCGCAGACCACGTATGGGCGCTTCTTGTGGCGACGCTGGGGGGAGTCGGCGGTGGTCCAAGTCCAACCCATGGTGCAAGGTGGGGCCTCTGGTCTGTGAAGCCTGGAAGAACTGCTGCCTCGAGCCCTAAACCCCAGGGCCTTCCCTGAGGCGCAGTGGCGCTTGAGCCTCCTCCTCCTCCTCCTCCTCCTCCTTCTCCTCCTCCTCCTCCACCTCCTCCTCCCCCCTCCTCCTCCTCCGCCTCCTCCTCCGCCTCCGCCTCCGCCTCCTCCTCCTCCTCCTCCTCCTTCTCCTCCTCCCCCTCCATTCCTTCTCCTCATAGATAACTCCTCCCTGTCGCATCCCGGGGCCAATTTTTAGTGCGGGCTGGGCATTTCGCCTTAGACTGACAACAGTTTCAGAGATGGAGGGCGGGTGGTTTTCAGAATGTGGCTCTCGCCTTAGCGCCGCGTGCATTCGTTTCAACACTTGCAAGAGTTTCATGGATTGAGGGCGGGTGGTTTTCAACATGTGGCTCTCGCCTTAGCGCCGCGTGCATTCGTTTTCAAACTTTGCGAGGGTTTCATGGGTTGAGAGCGGGTGGTTTTCAACATGTGGCTCTCGCCTTAGCGCCGCGCACATTCGTTTTCAAAATTGGCGGGAGTTTCACGGATTGAGGGCGGTTCCTTTTCAAAGTGTGGCTCTCGCCTTAGCGCCGCGCACTTTCGCCCAAACTTTGCAAGAGTTTCACGGGTTCCAATGATCAACGTACCAGAAATGATGTTTTGGACGGGTTCAGGATTATGCAGGTGCAACAGTTATGTTGATTCGCGGTGTTGAAAGCCCGAGAATGGCGCTCTGGCACGGTTCTGGATCGTCAAGACGCAGCAGTCAGGTTGATACGTGGCGTTTGAATCCCGCGAACAATATTTTGGCATGCTTCAGGAACTTCAAACGGTTGTCTTCCAACGAGGCAGTTCCCTCAATGGGAATGAACCGTTGTAGGAGCCTATGAAAAGGGAGCTTGGAGGGAGGGTTAATTCTAACATCGTTGATGACTCTTGGTTTTACACTGGTCTTCCTCCTCCTCCTCCTCTTCCTCCTCCTCCCTGTCTGTCTGCCCCGGCGGACCCGTTATCTTCGCATGGGAGAATGGCAACGACCAGGTGCAGTCGAGTCAGAACAGCGCCCCCGGCTTGGCGGAGCGGCGATGAAACAGCTACGAGCTACGCGGTGCATCAGCGTCTGGCAACGGGTGCAGACGATCGAGGCCGGGCCAGCTCCGACACTGCAAATTGGGCGCCGAGGGCAAACGCGCAAGCAGGTACTGGGGGTTCCGATGACGATGGTGGTTCGCCCCCCCCCCCCCCCACAGGAGTCCTCAGCGTACCTCCAGTGATGCGCGGATGCCAGGCTGCCTTTCGGCAGCCCCGCGAGCCCAGAGACCTGAACTGGCGATGCTGGCGACGATTGTAACGCTGATGATGGTGATGATGACGATGACGATGACGATGACGATGATGATGATGCTGCTGATGATGATAATGATGATGATGATGATGCTGATGATGATGCTGCTGATGATGATGATGCTGATGCTGATGTTGATGCTGATGATGACGACGATGATGATGATGATGGTGATGGTGGTGATGCTGATGATGATGGTTGTGGTGATGATGATGAGGGTGAGGGTGAGGATGATGATGATAATGCTGATGATGAGGGTGATGATGAGGATGATGATTATGATGGTGACGATGATGCTGATGCTGCTGATGATGCGGATGATGATTTTCCAGCAGACCGATGATAGTGATGATGATGGTGATAATGATGGTGACGATGATGACGACGATGATGACGATGGTGGTTGTGGTGATGATGATGATGAGGGTGAGGATGAAGATGATGATGGCGATCATGATGATGCTGATGCTGGTGCTGAGGGTGAGGGTGATGATGATGATGCAACTGCTGATGTTGATGATGATTTTCCAGCAGACCGATGGCAATGACGAGGTAACAATGGTAATGAACACAGTCCTTCAACAGATCTTATATAAGAAACCAGCAGCACAATACGATGCCGAACCAACTTCGCCACAGTGGGTTGGACGCCAAAGGCGCATGAAGGCAGGCAGGTGAAGGGGGGGAAGCGAACGATCAAGCCGCTAGTTCGGGCCACTAAGCTGGTGGCCGACTGCCCAGGGCCGGGCCCCTGGGAAAGATAGCGAGCGACGGGCGGAAAGACGTTCGAAGCTGTTGTCCAAACGACCTCGCGCGTGGGCGCGGGCAGCGAGAGAGGCGGCGATCCCAGCGCGGCCACAGGACAGTCGCACCAGCTGCGCGGCTTAAGAGGAGCAAACCGCTGGACAGTGGTCGGCACGACGCGAAGACGCGGCGGGCGAGACAGAACAGTGTCAGGCGCTTCCCAGCGCAAGAGTGGCGGGGCGGTCCTCGACGCCATCTCGTTGCGTTTCGAGAGAGGGCGGCGCGCAGAAGGAGCGGCGGGCGGCGGGGGAATCGGGAGGCCGAGTCAGCCGCAGGAGCACCCCCCAGGCTGGCACCTCCACCGTCCGAAGAGAGACCCGCACCGCCGAGGAGACGCGATAACCAGCAGGGGAGGCAGGAAAACGTGGCCAGAAGCAAGGAAAGGAGGATGGGATGCCTAAACTCTCACGTGCCGAAAGACCATGAGGCGTGGACTCTCCTGAACCATCTGAGGGGGATGACCTGATGACCCTAGCCATCTCCTGAGTAACTGTGAGACTCAGGGATCCCACCCTCCTCACTTAGGGCCCAGGCCTAAACCCTCCTGAGCCATCTGAGGGGGGTGCCGTAACTGTGGGGTGGAGAACAGGGCACTGAAGGGTGCCTGACACCCCGCATCTAGGCCACCCCTCCACACAACACCCGCCCGAGATTCGCGAGTCAGCTCGAGCAGCTGGTTTTCTGGGCACCTCCCAGCGCCGGGAGGCGCCAGTGTACCAGATCGAGCGCCCGTCGGCGGGGCCGAGACCGGCTGCGTGCCGCAAGTTTCGCGCGTGCCCCTCTCTTGCCTCGACCACGCGCCAAGGGTGGTGGAAGAGGGGAGAGGGCTTCTTAGGAGCAGCCCCTGCTTCTTCGAAGGCACGGGCCCCATCTATGGATGCAAGGCTGGCGCCTTCTAAGAAGCAGCCTCCTTCTTCGCAGAAGCCTTCCCCCCTCCCCCATACCCCCCTTCTGCGGGCGGCCGGCTTTCGCTACCGAGTTCCCTTCTTGTGGGTTCCAGAACTGTGCGGAGACGGACCTCGCGAGGTGACCTCGGAATCCCCAGCGACCTCACCGCGCGGCCCATCACCACACGGGCTTGGCACCCTGCAGGCCCCCATCGCCCGAGACATTCTCGGAGAACGACCCGGACCCCCAAAACCGCGCGGTGACCCCGCATCCCCACTGACTCACCACGCGGTGTGGTCACCACGACTTTTGGCGGACCCCGACAAAACCACGACGCCGTGGCTTTTCGCAACGTCGCCGCCCAGAGGTATGGACCCCTTCCCCAAGGGACGATTTCTCATCCCGAGCCGTTTTTGACGGCCCCGGGGGCCTGGCGAGGGCTCCCGGAGGCTGACAAATGTCAACATGATCGACCCGTGCCCCCCTTTCACTGAAGGGGCCCTGGGACACACAACGCAAATAACAGGATTCTCCACTTTTTGTGCAAAGCGCCACTTATCGTGTTGCTGAAGAGTAAGCAATCACATAGCTCGAGCCCGCTTCGGTGGACGCGCCATCTTCTCCGCCAAGTCGATCATGAATTTCGTCGCCATCCCCAGCGCTTCAGCTTCCATATGAAAGGCGGAATGCGATTCCGGAAAATACCTCCCCCGAGCTCCGATGATCTTGGAGCGGAAGCCCGCGTCACACTGGAAAACGCCGACAACAACGAAGGCTGCTGCCCCCATTCCGTGAACATAGCCGCCATCCGAAAACAGCTGCAAGGCCACTGCGCCATTCAAGTGCCCTGCCACATCCTTGCAGCTCAAGGTGTCCACGTCGGCCCTTCCAGCGAGCACGCAATGAGCGATGTGATCAGCAGCTTGATTGTGTTCCCGGGTCCTCCAGTCGATTGGATCGAGGTACTTGGCTTTGTATTCAAATACAGAAGAATATAGCGTCTTGAGCCGAAGTCGCAGACAGTCCAATGTGTTACGATACCTGTTGTTTGTATTACGAGTCACACCATTACCGATTTCTGCCAAAGTCAGGTTGTCGACGACAAACTCCAACTGCATGCGCTCAGCCCCCAAGTCCCGCAGTTCGTCGCGGCACAAAGATACCAGCAGCGCCAGGTGAGCCGGGTCCCACACCTGGTGACATTTGGCGGGTTGGGTTGCAAGATCCTCGCCGATGGCTTCCACAGGGGTGCCCCGCGCCACCTGGGGAAGACCCAAGCTAGCGCAAGCATCATGTACGAAGGAGTCCTTCGCGGCCATGTATTCTTCGTGTGTCCGAAAAATGTTGAACCGATCTCGCCAGCCTGGGTCCCATGCTGCAAAGAAGACTGCGTCTTGGTTCTTTTGCCTGCCGCGGTGAGAGTGCGCCGAAAAGCCCAAATGCCTGCGCCATTCGCGGGGCACGTCTTTGATTGCATCCCACCATCGTCTATCCCGGTCCGTTCTGATACGTCCGAGAATGGTCGCAGTCGTGTTTTCCCGCCACATAAACACGCACATTCTTTCAATCATGCAAACATGTATGGGTTTCTTACGTTTCACATCCATCCAATGGTCGATCTTCCTGGCAGTGCGATGCAGATAAGCCTGGCGTCCCTCACCTGGCTTAGGACGCAGCCGGAACACGCGTTTCAATGTCGACCTCTCCCACCGGATGGCGTCCCATAGCGCCGCGCTTGTCCAGTGAACGATGGGCGACAAATACAATGCGCTCGCACGAGGCATTGACATGTAAGCGTCCAGCTTCAAGCCAACAGATGCCTTCCCACGAAATGCTTTCAGATACTTGAAGAGGCATTTGTCGCCCTTCTGCATGCGATGCGAAATTCATGCATGAGTCGGGTCAGACGGGCACAGCACGCCGCCAAGCGCCTCCATTGCATCGATACGCTTATAGATTAAATTCTGCGGAGTCCCGTCGACGAAAACATTTGCAGAGGGAAGATCCACACGATTCGAAATGACTTCCAAAGAGCTGCTCTTCCATTCCCACCCGTACTTGCGTTGCAACAGAACTGTCATGCTTCTTGTCATAAGCCGCCACTGTTCCAAGTCGGCTGCCAATATGAATACATTGTCTACCCAACTGACGTTTGCGATCCTCTCGCCACTGGCCTTCATCTGGAAACCGAGCCCCATGGTATCCCATTCGGCTGATAATTCCTCCAGTGCCGTGTCCAACATAAGTACAAATACGTGAGGCTCGTATTTTCCTCCAGTGCGCATTGCCTTCGTCATCGGAACCTGGTTCGCGGAAGCGACACCGGGCACCGTAATATTCACACGCAACTTGTCGTAGTTGCGCGCGAGGACCAAAACCTGGTGGGGCGTCGCTTTGCGCATTGCCAGACAACTGAACATGCCGACATGCTCAACCGTATCGAATGCTGTCCGGATGTCCTGTGCCCCAAGAACGAGCGGAGAGTCTTCCCATCGAAGGGAATAGCACAAACACTCATACAACACTGCAAAACAATCGTCTGCCGAAGTGCCCGCCTTGTAGCCATAACTGCAGGAACGTCGCGGTGCACGGATCGTCCGGGAGGTCGCAGCGTAAATGGCTGAGTCGAACCATTTGCAAAGATGTGTTAAAATCCCTAGCCACCTGTAGTCCTGGAACGATCTCTGGTCACGTGATTTCGGAATCCCGAGAAGCTCGAATTCAGCCCATGAGGCCAAAGTAGTATCCTCCCAATGGATGTCCCTGAAGCGTTTCAACAACAACTCATCCAATCGTATCATGAGGCTGACGTAGTATCTTCCCAAATTTTCCAACACTTTCTGGGGAATCGAGGATTAATTGCGTCTGTGTGTTTTTTCCATCCTGATTCTCGACGGTCGGGAACTTTGCTCGGCGTGTCGCGACGGCGGCCTCAGCGACGCGCTATCCCTCAAGAGCGGATAGCGTGTCGCTCCGCTCCGCGGGGCAGGAGGCTCGGGAAAGCTCAAGACGTTGACACCTCGGGACCGCCATGCGGATAGCGCTTCGCGCCGAAGCATGGTGGGCCAGGACCAGTGGAGCGACATGCGACCAAAAAGTTCCCGACCGTACCCAGTTCCTCCAGTCTTCTGTTTTCCCCTTCTGTCTTCTCTTGTTTCCTGATCTTTCCCTCTTCCTCTGCTGTCCCCTCTGCTCCCATTCTCTTTACCGTTCCTGTCTTCTTGTTGTGGCCCTCCACGTCTTCCTGCTGTGCACGCCCGTGCTCTAGCACACACGTTCAAGGACTTCATGCCCTGCTCTGCCTTTCTCTCCCCCGCGCCCGCGCTGTCCCTCTTCTGCCTGTGCCCAGTTCGACCCGTGACGACCCTCGGCCGTCTCCGAACGCCGCTTGGACCCAACCAACTGCGACAGAAAAAACCTATCATGTCGGTGTGTGTTTTTCTCTGTCACTGAGCGGACCTCAGGTCTTCGTCCAGGGGTCACTCCATCCCCTGAGATCCGGCGCTGCAAAAACATGCAACATCTCGGCGGCGACGATAAGGCGAATAGCCCAGGGGCGGGCATTACACGTATTCGCCCGGGAGCCTTGTCGAAGACATGGACCATCGGCGCCCCTGGATACATGTATTGCTCTCTCCTGGGCTATTCGCCCCTACCGTCGCCTCCGAACATCGCGAAACATCGCAACCAGAACGCCAAATCCCGTCCTACTGCGCCATTCTTCGAGCTGGATCGATCCGTGAGGGGCCCGCGGCCCGAAGCCTGGCGACAACGCCTCCAGTGACAAAAATCGCAACTGAAGGGGCCCTGGGACACACAAATAAATACACGCAAATAAAAGGATTCTCCTTATTTTCCAATATTGTCGGGGTTTTCGTCTTCCCCCCCACTTCCCATATTTCCCCATAGTGTCCTGGGAATCGACGATTATTTGTGTCTGTGTGTTTCTTTCCCTCCTGAGCAACGCCCGGGTCTCAGGGTTCGTCCGACCCGCCGGCTGGCGGCGCCGAGAAGGTGGCGGGAGGGGGAAGGGCGTCTTAGAAGGAGGCTGCTTCTTGGACGGCACTGGCCTTACATCAATGTATGAGGCCCGCACCTTCTAAGAAGCAGGGGTACTCCAAAGAAGCCCTCCCCCCTCCCCCACCCCCCTCTGCGCGTGGCCGAGGGAGGCAGGGCGCGGCTGCAAGCAACGCCGAGCCAGAGGCGAAGACACGGGCCAAGCGCGGAGACGAAGCGCGAGCTGAGGACATTGTGAACGATGCATTGGCTCTCGGGCGGGTGGTACTGCGGGGTGACCTACATGGGGATGTAAGAGAAGGGCCCCGTGTGGGCCACCCCCCGCTGCCGCCCGCCCGAGGTTCGTCCGACCCGCTGGGTGCCCGGGGCGGCGCCGCCTTGTCGCGCTGCTCGTGCTGCGCCACCAGCGCGCGTCGGCTCCCGGGGCCGCTTCTCGCGGCCTCCGCCGCGGGCGCCCACGCCCCAGTGCTGCGGCCCCCACCCCATCCCCGCCCTGCGGCCAAGAAGGAGGGACAACGGTACGGGCGAGTCGCATAATGCGGATGCGCGGTGAGGATGCAAGAGGCCTTGGAGGGCCATGCCGGCGTTTTCGAGCGGGGCCGGCCAGCGAAAGCCGCCAAGGATGGGCCGAAGGGGCAAGGATGAAAGGGCAGCCTTAGAAAATTGCTCGTCCTTGCTATCCGATTTGACTGTAAGAGAGGGCGCACAGATGCTTTCAACAGTGCTGGAATTGGGCTCCCCTGGGCTTCCTAAGCACCCAGGGCGTAGCCTCGCTGAGAAAGCGCCGTGGGCCCTCCTTACGCCATCACGGATCTCAGGCTTCTTTCGCCCAAGGATGTTCGGGTGTTAATTCCTCCACCTGCCCCAGCCCTTCCCCACCCTGCGGCCAGGACGGAGGGGCAACGATAGGGTGTGCACATACACAGCGCAAGGAAAATCACGAACTCCACCCGCAGGCGCCGCAAATCACGACAGCACTGCTGTGCCGCAGCGTGAAATGGAAGGGGTACAGAACGTCCGTCCGCATGCAACATCATCCACATGAGCCTTGACACATTACCTTGAAGACGTACCCAACCTTTGCGCAAAGTTTGGCCAACACGGGCGTATCTTTGCTGCGAACGTAATTTGGCAGGTTCGCGAGCTGCGCGACTCGCGAGCTGCCAGCACGTCTGCATATGTCAGCAATGGCGTCCGTCTCGCAGTTCGCAGCCCTCTCAGGGATGGCGAAGTCCCGCTCGGATCTGCGCAACACTGCACCAAACTGCCCCCCAGCAGCCCTCGAGAAAGGCGACACTTTCGCAATTCCCCCCCCCCCCCTCCCCAAATATGGCGAGGTCCCGCTCTGATCTGCGTAGCACCGCACTGAGTTGTCTCGCGGCAGCCATCGAGAGTGGCGATGATTTCGCAGTTCGCAGCCCCCCAAGGCAGGCGAGGTGCCGCTCCGATTTGCTTAGCGCCGCACCAAACTGCACCCCCCAAACAGCCCTCGAGTGGCGATGGTTTCGCAGATCACACCCTGGGGGGATGGCGAGATCCCGCTCTGATCTGCTTGGCACCGCAGTATGTTGGACTAATTACCCAATAGCACTCGGAAGCGGTGACAACTTCGCACTTCCCCGTCCCCCCAGACGGCGACGTCTCGCGCTGATCTGCGTAGTACCGCGCTAAGCTGCCCCCCCGAGAAGCCCTCGAATGTGGCGACAGTTTCGCAGGTCGCACCATCCCGCGCGCGGAGGCGACCTCCTGCAGGGTAGCTCTACCCAATCGTGACGGGGAGCTTCTTCCAGTAAGCGCCGTCGTGAAACTTCTCGACGCCCATCAGGAGCGCGGCGCTGGCGACGCCGAGCTCGGCTGCCGGCTCATCGAGCAATGCCCGCGCCAGCGCGGTCTTGGGCGCGATCGAGCCTTTCATGCATGGCTGTGTCCCAGAAATCGCCCAAGACTCTGGTCCACTGGTTGGTGATGGGGGCTCGGATCTTGGTCCTGATCTTGGGCGAGTTCGGCAGAGTCCCTAACGCTCTCTCTCTCTCTCTCTCTCTCTGTCTCGTTGTTTTTGTTTGTGTTTTTTTTTTATTGTTTCTCTCTCTCTCTCTCTCTCTTGCTCTCTTGCTCTCTTGCTCTCTCTCTCTCTCTCTCTCTGTCGCTCTTCTTTTTACTCTCTCTCTCTCTATATATATCACCCTTTCTCGCCCAGTGGGCTAAGGGGCCAGAACCCCGATGGTGGCCCGCGCCTCCGGTGGCCATGGCCCGCGGGTCTCGATCGTGCGGTTCAGGTCTGCCAGCCCCTCTATGCCGTCGTTTCGTAGACTCTGGACTTCAGCGGGCCCGATGTTGTCCACCCCATCTGGCCTTCTTGGGGTTGGCTGCGCCCGCAGCCGCCTTGATCTTGCCGTCCTATCTCGGGCGCAAGATTCTAGCGACCTCCGCGCATGCCTGGCAGGGGGTGTCCTTGTTGCCGGTTCGCGCCGTCCAGATGCCACTCCAGAAATCGCTGCGATGGGGTTGCCCGTCGCGATGCCGTTCTGCTTGGCCTCAAGGTTGGGGCCTTCCAGGACCTTGACGAGGCTGCGCGACTTGCGAGGGGCCTCCTTCCAGGCCTTCTTTGCCCACTCGAATTAAGATTTCCTGGAGCGCGCCGCCGCCCCCCCCCCCGCGGCCTTCGGCGCACGCGGGTGGTAGAGATCCTCGAGGTCGCAGAACTCCAGGGTCATCGCGCTGGTCTTCCACTCCTCGATCTCCTCGGGGTCCGTCTTGAAGCCGTAGTGGTTGGTGCTGGTATCGCCCTTGGCGATCTGGTCGCCACTGCTGATGACGCGGATCGCGCGCTCCTCCTGCGCCGTCGCGTGCTTGCCAATCTTGCCAGGCGCCAAGCGCGGTGGAACAAAACAGAAAGATGTCGACCCCTGGCACCACGCGGCCTCTGGGCCCCTGAGATGTGGTCAGCCGGGCGAAGCTCTGATGGGTCTTCTTCCGAACTTGGGGCCCTAGGGCCCTGCCCATGCGCAGCTGCGTGTCCTCGCGTGAAATGCCATGGGCATCCAGGGTGGCGATCTCCATCGCCGTGACCCACGTCGCGTAACTGTTCATTACGACGGCCGCTTGCAGCTGTCGTTTCTTGTGCGCGACGTGCGCCCGCCCCTGCTGGGGGGCGCGCCGGTTGCCGCCGAACGCAAGATAGTTGCTGAGTACCTCCTTGGCCCTGCACCACTGATCAGCCGCGACGCAGAATTGCTGCTTACTGGACCCCCTGCGGGGGCCGTCCTCTAGGATGCTGTCGCACTCGCCTCGGGGATGCTGACGCAGCTGTTCCTTGCGGCTCTGCGCGCTCCAGGCCATGGCCCGCGCCCCATTGCTGTTGGGGCCCGCGACGCGGTTCGGCCTGCCAGCGGTCGGTGGAGCGTTCGGGGCCTTGATGTAGCTGCACTGCCAAGCGCCGCTTTTGCCTGCCGTGGTCTCGATGCCGCAGCGGGTCGTTCGCGGGGCCTCGCGCGTGGCCTCCGCGGCCATGTCGCGCGCCACGCGGGCCCTGGCGATACCGTAGCTGTAGACGGAGCCATCTCGCTTGTCTCACGCGGTGGCCCCATCCTTCGGGGCGACGATAGCCCCGCCCAAGCGTTGGATCCACTGCC